GCGATCTTGTACAATATACCCAGGACCTTCAGACAATCAACGTACTGCCTGGGTTCAGACAAATACCAGCATCTGCTGCTTACTGCGATCTTGTACAATATACCCAGGGCCTTCAGACAATCAACGTACTGCCTGGGTTCAGACAAATACCAGCATCTGCTGCATACTGCGATCTTGTACAATATACCCAGGGCCTTCAGACAATCAACGTACTGCCTGGGTTCAGACAAATACCAGCATCTGCTGCTTACTGCGATCTTGTACAATATACCCAGGGCCTTCAGACAATCAACGTACTGCCTGGGTTCAGACAAATACCAGCATCTGCTGCTTACTGCGATCTTGTACAATATACCCAGGACCTTCAGACAATCAACGTACTGCCTGGGTTCAGACAAATACCAGCATCTGCTGCATACTGCGATCTTGTACAATATACCCAGGGCCTTCAGACAATCAACGTACTGCCTGGGTTCAGACAAATACCAGCATCTGCTGCTTACTGCGATCTTGTACAATATACCCAGGACCTTCAGACAATCAACGTACTGCCTGGGTTCAGACAAATACCAGCATCTGCTGCTTACTGCGATCTTGTACAATATACCCAGGGCCTTCAGACAATCAACGTACTGCCTGGGTTCAGACAAATACCAGCATCTGCTGCATACTGCGATCTTGTACAATATACCCAGGACCTTCAGACAATCAACGTACTGGCCTGGGTTCAGACAAATACCAGCATCTGCTGCTTACTGCGATCTTGTACAATATACCCAGGGCCTTCAGACAATCAACGTACTGCCTGGGTTCAGACAAATACCAGCATCTGCTGCTTACTGCGATCTTGTACAATATACCCAGGGCCTTCAGACAATCAACGTACTGCCTGGGTTCAGACAAATACCAGCATCTGCTGCATACTGCGATCTTGTACAATATACCCAGGGCCTTCAGACAATCAACGTACTGCCTGGGTTCAGACAAATACCAGCATCTGCTGCTTACTGCGATCTTGTACAATATACCCAGGACCTTCAGACAATCAACGTATGGCCTGGGTTCAGACAAATACCAGCATCTGCTGCTTACTGCGATCTTGTACAATATACCCAGGGCCTTCAGACAATCAACGTACTGCCTGGGTTCAGACAAATACCAGCATCTGCTGCATACTGCGATCTTGTACAATATACCCAGGACCTTCAGACAATCAACGTATGGCCTGGGTTCAGACAAATACCAGCATCTGCTGCTTACTGCGATCTTGTACAATATACCCAGGGCCTTCAGACAATCAACGTACTGCCTGGGTTCAGACAAATACCAGCATCTGCTGCTTACTGCGATCTTGTACAATATACCCAGGACCTTCAGACAATCAACGTACTGCCTGGGTTCAGACAAATACCAGCATCTGCTGCATACTGCGATCTTGTACAATATACCCAGGACCTTCAGACAATCAACGTACTGCCTGGGTTCAGACAAATACCAGCATCTGCTGCATACTGCGATCTTGTACAATATACCCAGGGCCTTCAGACAATCAACGTACTGCCTGGGTTCAGACAAATACCAGCATCTGCTGCTTACTGCGATCTTGTACAATATACCCAGGGCCTTCAGACAATCAACGTACTGCCTGGGTTCAGACAAATACCAGCATCTGCTGCTTACTGCGATCTTGTACAATATACCCAGGACCTTCAGACAATCAACGTACTGCCTGGGTTCAGACAAATACCAGCATCTGCTGCTTACTGCGATCTTGTACAATATACCCAGGACCTTCAGACAATCAACGTACTGCCTGGGTTCAGACAAATACCAGCATCTGCTGCATACTGCGATCTTGTACAATATACCCAGGGCCTTCAGACAATCAACGTACTGCCTGGGTTCAGACAAATACCAGCATCTGCTGCTTACTGCGATCTTGTACAATATACCCAGGACCTTCAGACAATCAACGTACTGCCTGGGTTCAGACAAATACCAGCATCTGCTGCATACTGCGATCTTGTACAATATACCCAGGACCTTCAGACAATCAACGTATGGCCTGGGTTCAGACAAATACCAGCATCTGCTGCATACTGCGATCTTGTACAATATACCCAGGACCTTCAGACAATCAACGTATGGCCTGGGTTCAGACAAATACCAGCATCTGCTGCTTACTGCGATCTTGTACAATATACCCAGGACCTTCAGACAATCAACGTACTGCCTGGGTTCAGACAAATACCAGCATCTGCTGCTTACTGCGATCTTGTACAATATACCCAGGACCTTCAGACAATCAACGTACTGCCTGGGTTCAGACAAATACCAGCATCTGCTGCATACTGCGATCTTGTACAATATACCCAGGGCCTTCAGACAATCAACGTACTGCCTGGGTTCAGACAAACACCAGCATCTGCTGCATACTGCGATCTTGTACAATATACCCAGGACCTTCAGACAATCAACGTATGGCCTGGGTTCAGACAAACACCAGCATCTGCTGCTTACTGCGATCTTGTACAATATACCCAGGACCTTCAGACAATCAACGTACTGGCCTGGGTTCAGACAAACACCAGCATCTGCTGCATACTGCGATCTTGTACAATATACCCAGGACCTTCAGACAATCAACGTACTGCCTGGGTTCAGACAAATACCAGCATCTGCTGCATTACTGCGATCTTGTACAATATACCCAGGACCTTCAGACAATCAACGTACTGCCTGGGTTCAGACAAACACCAGCATCTGCTGCTTACTGCGATCTTGTACAATATACCCAGGACCTTCAGACAATCAACGTACTGCCTGGGTTCAGACAAACACCAGCATCTGCTGCTTACTGCGATCTTGTACAATATACCCAGGACCTTCAGACAATCAACGTACTGCCTGGGTTCAGACAAATACCAAGTGTACATTTCTTTCACAAAACGTCATCTCTTTGTGTGATTGTAGACAGTGTCAGCGCCAAAACGCGGCAACTCTTGAATTTTTCCTTCTTTCCTAGCGTTTGTAGAAATATTCGCCAAAACGTCACCAAAAAGCATGCAAAGCCAAAATACACGCGCAAACGGAAAAGCCTGCAGTAGCATTCACTATAAAAAGGCAAACGTTGTGCCTCCTAAGTTTGTCATTCTGTGTTTGCTTGGGAAAAGAGAAAAATCATCAGCCACGACTGAGTGCAGCGAATTGAAACATCGCCATAGGCCACCTTGAAGCTGGGGAGCCGCAGCTTGCAGCTGGACCGACATTTCAACGTTCATCAGAGCACCATTCTCGCCTTTAGGATCGTTTCCCGCAAACCAACTCTGAACAAAATCGCCCGAGAAGCGCTGTCCAAGAGTTACCGCCCAAGCCTAGGACGACTACATCCGAGTTGCTCACTTGCCTCATCGTTTTCCACAGCCGTGGATACTGCACAAGGCATCCCTGAACAATTTCCGATCAAACTGTCCGATCAATCCGATCGATTGCGTGAAGTGGTTCGATCAATTAAGAAGGCCAGTTGTCGCTCCTGTTTTCAGAGACTTCCATCGGCGCAATCACTCTGGAAAGTCCGGAAACTGGAACCTTAGAAACTTGAGGCGAGTCTATTTGCAGTGATGAATAACGATTTCTTTTCACCGGCGAGATGGAAGGCAAAAGATCAAAGATCTGATGTAGTGGTGGTTCAGGGCAATTTGACAGCAAATCGGTACATCAACGAAGTCCTTGCACGTCACATGCTTCTGATTATGGACCGACAGAGGGAGCTGGGCCCAGCATGACAACGATACTTCACACACGGCACGCGTCACGCATTACGCATCAATTCTAAAAATCAGTGTCTTGCCATGGCCTTCCTGATCACCAGATCTAAAACCCGATAGAGCACCTGTGGGATGAACTCGATGGACGTAGCCAACTTCGAAACACGAATCAGACACTTCCACAACTGGCCATTGCATTGCAGGGAGAGTGGGGGAAGAATTCCGCGAGAGCGATCAGTCGATCTGTGCCGCGCAGTAATTGCTGCCAATGGTGGCCATACAAAGTAATTGCTTTCTTACACCATCTTGTGGACTCAAGTAAACAGAAACACACCAATAAAGGCTACTGGAAGTGTTGGCGACTCTTTGCCTATAGACGTGTGAATTTTCACCTATGTACCATTGAAATTACATGAAATAATTGCTCTTAAAGTAAAGCAAAACGCCAATTTTATGCCTTTGTTTGTTTTTTGGTTTGGCGTGATTGTGTTTCTTTCTTTGAAGGGTGTACAAAGATCTCCGTAAAAAGACAAAAGAGATGCCTTCAACTTCTCCAAAAGTGACTTTTCCTCTATTGTGGACAATATACACCCAGACGTTCCAGTCAAGTTTTGGGTGTCCACACATCTGAACTGTGAGATCCACTGGAACGTCTTCTTCAAAGAGCGTCTAAAGTTCTTTTTTACACAGTTGGCACTGCGACAAAAAACTGGTGTTAGATGCAATCCCCTGGTTTTTCTTGTAACAAGGTGAACAGCATGTCTTTGTGTCTGGCGCCTTTGGGGCAGCATTTGTACACATTTTTGCGAACCCCTTTCATATTGATTCATCAAGACATAATCGTAATGGTATAGTGAACTGTGGTTTTAGTTTAAACTTTTATGTGTGGAAATAATAATTGATCAGTTTCATTTATCTTACTTTAATTTACATCGCTTATTGAACCAAAACACATGAACCAAACACAAAGCAAGACTTCAAAGGTTATACTGTGAACAGAGTTATTTTCAGAGACAATTTACCGTGCCAGTGTAGTCGAGGCCAGGCTTGAAGTTGTGATCACTGTAGTCGAGGTAGGTTAACTTGACTGCGTTGGTGTAGAAAGTCACAGTCGAGGAACCACTTAGTTTCTTGCCCGTCAGCGTTTCTGTGACAGTGGCTTGTATTTCCAGTTTCCGACCATTGAGGTAAGATTCGAGGTGCTGAACCTCCACCATTGGAATCGTGAACTTCACTTTCTCCATCAAGCTGTGTAAATAATTAAATTAATATAATCACTTAATACGGATGTGTATTCTATGACATGTCGGCAGACAAAGGCGGAAAGAATGCTTTCTTTACCACATGGTTCCAGAGAGATGATTATGCAGTCTCCCTCACAACTGTGTGTTTCATATTCTGAAGAAATTTAAAGATATCATGTTTTTGTTTTCAGTGATAGCTTTGTTACGTATGTAAAGCCATGGATGAAAAATGACCATCTTCCATAATTATCACAGCAACACACTTTCTTCCTTAATTGAGACAAACAAAATTTATAGTATTTGTTGGAAAAGAAGGTGCATCTACATACTGGGAAAGTCATGAGGATCTTCGGTTGCTCAGAGGAACAAGATCCAGAATAATCTCCAGGTATCGTAGCGTGAATCTCTGCGACACCAGATACTCCCTCGCCAAATGTATACCTTAATAATGCCAAAAGAGACATGCTTTTCCTGAGGTTGAAAATACGTTTTGATTCTTGGATTTTCAAAGTGCTTTTGCAGATGAGCATACACGTATTTTTAACGGACAGGATACGCTCATCTCGAACACCTGGTATCATCATTTTTCATAGTGATTCATAAACACACGTTTATGCTTGGGTGTGAGTCACACTATGAACTCGGTTTTATTAGATGTTCCTGCGGTTTTGGAAATGTTTCTGAGTGTCTTACTTTGAAAGAAATAGTGTTTAAATTCACATACTTTGCAAAAACTTTGCCCTTAATGTGTCTCGATCTGTTACCAGAGCAAAACTGGGAACATCCACTGTAACCTCAAAGCGTGGAAGATCTTGGAAAGAAAGAATGTAATGTAAATATACATTTGTGAACAAAGATAGTATACCTGACAGTGTCACTAAGCAGGCTGTTGTTTAGGGGAACGTCATCATTGCTAATATTAGGAACATCATCTCCAACCCAGCATAACCCCAAGATACTTGATTTTCTAATTACCAAGCCTTATAGGATACAAAATCCAAGTTATTTAGCTTTTGATCAAAATCACACTCACTATAGTTGGATACCTCGAATTTCTTCTCTTCCATCTGGCTCTGTTAAGGTGAAGTTCGATTAACAGTAAGTTTTCAAGTTTTTACAGACATGTTAAACATGGCCTAACAGATGAAGTGGTATGATGTTGATGGAAAATGTTAACAGATGTTTACCTTAGGCAAGTAAAGATACACTGTCTTCATAAAGAGAGTATTAACATCATATGATTTTAATTACATTTCTGAAATGTGTAGATGAGAGACAATTTATTCATATTAATTCATATAAGTACACAGGTATAACTTCAATGATTACACCCACACATTGCAAATGACATGCAAATGACAGAAGCAATGTGAAGGATCACTGGCTTGATGAGACAGCAGCAAAAGCATGTGTATATATGTTTATAAAATGTTAACTTTTAAAACTTGGTCGAAGCAAGTTTTCTAAAGTTAAAAAAAACATTGAAGCCGTGTCCTATAGTTACGTTGGGTATTGTGACCCTGATCTTCCAATCTCCGAGGATGGGCATGGCGCTGAGTTTGAAGGACTTTGTGACGACACCAGTAGGATCTTTCACATCCTTCTGCAGCATCAGTTTGTTGTTGTTGGGATCCTGCATTGACAGCATACATGTCGTGCCACATACATAAAACTTAATTATAGTGCATTGTGACCAAGAAATATATCCAAGTTTAATTGGGGTTATGCATGTATTATTTCACAAATCAAAATTAGAATCCTTGAAAATAGTACATCGGCTATTCAGCTGAATAACACTTTGACAAAAACTAATTCCAATTACATTGAATGTGCATTTGCTTCCCTTTATACTTTGAGCACAAGTACCGTACAAGCAACCTATCATGGTCAAAATCAACCTAAAATGATTTTGAATTGGAAACAATTGTGCATTGTGTCTTCGCTCATCAGAACGGGCCATGACCAATTCAACTGACCATTCTATGATTGATATCTAATGTGGTTTATTTGTTTCCTTAAATATATAGCATCCATACCACCACAATACACCCCATAGTTAATGCAAATGAAAATCTATGACTTTAGGATGGGGCAGGATGAACACTCACAAAGATCTCGATTGTCATGTTTCCAGTGTAGGAAAGAAGGTCAGAGTACACAGCAAATGCACGGATGTTGACTGCAAATAGAGGCGGATGGTTAACAATCTTTGCAGAAATCGGGATAGACCGTAACATCGTATTCAAAGATCGTATCAAAATATCGAAAGTGTCATGAACATGATAATTCAGCGCAGGCCGAGACAGATATCCCGTATATGGTTACTGTCGAAGGAAGTAAAGCTAGTAAGCAGCAACATTTTGGTGTAGGGTCTAACAATATTACCACGAAGGAGAATTAGAACCACCACCATGAAAATAGGGTGAAGGAGATAAAGAAAATATGACAGGCGAAATTGTCCCAGCTGTCAGCTAGGTTACGCAGGTTACGCGCTGATCAATTTCAGTGATCACACAATCGTCCATTGTCATTTATTCACTTGAACATTTAAAACTGTTCTTCGAGTATTTAACCACTTGAACGGTTTGATCTTTTCTACGGGTAGTATAACTTTTCACATGAAAATTGACTTATTCACTGGTTAGTTAAACCATTTATCCCTCTCAAGCTTCAAAACAGGCAGACGAAGCGTGAACTACTTACCTGTGGATCCGGGCTTGTATATGGCTTTGTCAGTCTGGATAAAGGCTGACAGGTACTTGCTGTAGTACTTCAGGTTGTACATTCTTGTGTATTCCTCTCCAGAGCTAGTCTCTACCTGGACCTTCAGGAAGTAGTTGTCAGATTTCAGATCCTGGGGAGTCTGCGGTACAATAATTCGAGTTAGTGTCAGTTGTGGCTGGTGTAGAAACCGTAGTGAACTATTAAAGTAACTTGTGTAGTGGATACAATGCTGTTCTTAACAACAACGAAATGTAAATGCAACATCCCTCCAGTGCAGTGTTCAATGGCTTAAACATTCAGAAAGTTCGTTAAACATTCAATATCTCAAAAAGCAAGAACATGCGAAGGGTTAAACATAAGATAATGACATCATCTTTGTCACACAACCGTCCAAAATACAGTTATGTTTGAACTACTTATATTTGTATTCATTACTGATTATAAATAACAGCGGTCCTCGAGCGGACCCTTGAACGGACGCCAGTTACAACTTGTCCTTATTCTGAATCGTAACCTTTGAGTACTAACCTTTGTCGTTTATTTTCAAAATAACTTTGGAACAATAATAGTATAGTAGTTTACCCCATATATCGTAGGATTGGATCTTATGTATTATTATATAATAACTTTCTGCCAAATTTATTGAAAGCCATTCTGATGCTACATGATACTGGTCTCATATCCTTATCTGACACTTTTCGCAATAAAATCGTAGTAGTAGGTTAACTGCTTATCGATCAACGATCCGTATGTAGCAGCACAATTTCTCAGAAATGAATTATCCAAAATAACAGATTGGGCTAAAGAAATGCAACTTGATTTTAATCCTAGTAAAAGGATTTCAATCCAGGTTACACTTGTTTACGCAAATCCAGATCTAACAATTTAATTAATAAGGCTATTATTCCTGAAGTAACATTTTGGAATATCGAATTGAAAAGATCAGTCCGATGATAAATTTTCTCAGATGTCACTAGTATCGCCTCAGCAGAAGAACACTCGATGTAAGAAATATGCCATATTCATATTTTACGGTCTTTGCTTACTCTCGTCATATGTGGGATAATTGTACAAAAGAACAACTGCGCATGCGTGTAAAATATAAATGCATTTAGACCTATCTGTGTCCCACCCGTGTCACTAGTCACGATAAACTATATTTCGAAACAAATGTCATCTTGATAGAGAAAGGGGGATATCGTCAAGAGCTGAATATGTTTTATAAAATGATAAATAACATGACAAATGTTCATGGATCAAAGATGAAGATGAGGAATAGTGAGGCACGAAATGAAACAGATTAACCACAACTTTACTTGTAAATCCTTTGAGTTTGCCAACAATTGCATCCAACATGTTACGAATATGTTTAATACATCAGTTCGAAGTGTTTATTTCTTATGTGCATATTATTTAGACTATTTTAGTGTGTACAAACAATGTAGCTGGATGTTGACGCAGTGAAGACGTTATCATGAATTGTACCACTCGATAAAGTTAGGTTAATAAAAATGATGAACCCCTTTCTGCGTCTATAATCAAATCTCCGCTTCAAGCAGAGTCGATTGTGCGTTTCCGACCATACCATTAGCATGTGTTTATATCACTATCACTATCATAATAATAGTTACACCAGGGCTGCACGAAAAGGTTAGCGTATCCTGCCCACCAGTGTCATAAACATGTGGAAGAGCCCCCGACAGCAGTCGGTACGTATGCTACACATCATAATAGTGAATTGCATCGAACATTATTTTGTCACTGATTTGTCTAATTTTGAAATGTCTTTCACATGTCTATCATGAAACCTTTTGAAAGCTTTACTGTGGCCTTGAATGTAACCTTGATCAAACACCTCTTAGCCAATTTACCTTGACATTCACGATACCTGCATCTCCTGAAAGTACAAAAAGTAAATTTTTCATTACAATAACCTCTATAGCGGTGGGGTAGCGTAGTGGTAAAAGCGTTTGCCCCTCACGCCGAAGAAACGGGTTCGATTCCCATGTGGAAGCCCACTTCTGATGTTCCCCGCCGTGATATTGCTGGAATATTGATAAGGCGGCGTACCATACTCACAACAATAACCTCTACAGGCAGACCCACTGATTTTAATTCAATAAAATGTCAAATAACGTCTAAAATGCATTACAATAGGAAGCATCACTGAGACAATACATATCATACATATTACAAGCCCTTATAAACCATTTGCAACCGTTTCCGTGGTGTAGTGGTTAGAGCGTCCGCCGAGAGAGCGGAAGGTCGCGGGTTCAGTCCCCAGCCGCGTCATACCAAAAGACGTTAAAATATGGTACTTGTTGGTCCCTGCCTGGCGCTCGGCATTAGTGGGTACAACAAGGACTTGTCGGCTCGGAGTCAGTATAATGTGTCTGAGTGTGGTATTCATGCTTAACTGCGGCATGGTATCTCCGTGAACTAGCACTATAAGCGAAATATTCTTAAGTACGACGTTAAACCTCATTTCACCTCACCTCACCTCACCATAAACCATTTGAAACCGATAAACCATAATACCGAGATAAGACATGGGTCATTCTGAATAAAGTGTTTTACAGAAGGTAATCATTTTGAAGAATTACGGTATAATGTGTTCATGACAATGACGGCATTGCTGATGCCAATCCTTTTGTTCTAATATCATACTCCACTTATCTTTTAACAAATGTCAACACTATGACCTAAATGTCACTTCGCATGCAGCTAAAGCACAATATTATGTATGTATATGTATGTATGTATGTATGTATGTATGTATGTATGTATGTATGTATGTATGTGTGTGTGTGTGTGTGTGTGTGTCTGTCTGTCTGTCTGTCTGTCTGTCTGTCTGTCTGTATGTATGTATGTATGTATGTATGTATGTATGTATGTATGTATGTATGTATGTATGTATGTATGTATGTATGTATGTATGTATGTATGTATGTATGTATGTATGTATGTATGTATGTATGTATGTTTGTATGTTTGTGTGTGTATGTGTGTGTGTATGTGTGTGTGTGTGTGTGTGTATTCCACTGGGTGATAAATAAATTGTATTTCAATGTGTTATTCGTTCGAATTATTTTAAAGAAGAATCCGTGATTTTCATGAAGGATATAATTAATACTAAATGAAAGGTTTCTATTTGTGAAAAAAAGAAACATATGTAGTTATAATGTCAGGTTTTATCTTGTTGAAACCGTCGTGAGAAATGATTTGCATAAGTAGTGTCAAACTTGATAAATTACTGTATATAACAGCGAAAATAATTATGTGGCCTACCTCCGAGAACGAAGTTTGTGTTACTGGCAGTGTTCTCTGTCACGCGACGGTGATACTGTTGGCATATGGTTCAACGCGGCGTAAAACCCAACTCACTCACTCACTCACACTGACTCATGGTGTGGCCTACCTCCGAGGATTGTGTTTGTGTTATTGGCATGGTCGACGTAGATTTGTTCATAGTGTTCATAGGGGAAGTTGTTCCACTCTTGTGTCTGTACACGTGCTGTTACAGTCAGGTCCTGACTGGCGTTCAGGGAGTTGACCCCCAGACGCAGGGTTGTCGAGGGGCTGATGGTCTTAGGGGCAAGGATCAGAAAGGTGCTGCAAGATGCACAGAAACAGAAATTATATTCCAGTGTTATTCACTTAAATATGGATGCACGCAATGAGGTGTTTGATTAGAATACACCCAGACAAATCAGTGGCTGATAATATCAGCGTTGATCATCATCGGTGAATCACTCCGGAGAGCCAGACCAAACTGTTGGTTCGTTGGTTTGTTGTTTTAAACCGCTCTCAGCAATATTCCAGCTACATGACGGCGGTTTGTAAATAATCGAGTCTGGACCAGACAATCCAGTGATCAACAGCATGAGCAATGGATACGATGACATGTGCCTGACCACCTCTTAGTCGCCTCTCATAACAAGCATGGGTTACTGAAGATCAATTCTAACCCGGATGTTCACGGGTTAGAACGATCTGAGACCTGCACGATCACATCTCACATATATCTGCCTAAAGGCCATAGTGGCTATTAATGGAATTAGCACACTGATTATGCATTCACTAAGAGTATTTTTTCGAAAATTGAGCGATAGAAATCTTTGAAATTATATTCATCAAGTTAATATATATTATAAATAAGAAACAGGTAACACTGTCCTATTATAAAACTACAGAGTGTATGTGTTGATGCATCAGTTTGCAAAAGAATGATAATCTCTGATGAACAACAAACGTTGTGTTTACATATACTCATGCCAATAATGATTGTGACCCCCAGCCTATTTGGGGTGAAAACCATTATCGGCATGGACATACATTGGACTCATGAGCAATTAACGGGTGGGATCATCCTGCCGGAACGTCACTATATTACATTCCATGATTCTTGGTGTTATTCTTGCAACATAAACAGGTAAGTCCAAGAGTGCACATACGCTAACTTAGCACGTAAACCGGTATTGAGTCATCAAAACACGTACTTTTTAGCATTAACAATGCTGATTGATGCGAGAAGAAGTAGCTTCCACATGTCGAAGTTCCAAACACTGACCGGTTTTCTGGAACGTATGGAGAATCATCGTAACGAGTCATGCATTACTGTTGATATCCATTGAATTAACATAAACCAATGAGAACCAGGGTCGTACTTTTCCGTAACAAACCCAAGCCATGTTACATCAAAAAAGAAATATAACATGTTCTAAATAGTGTAATATAATCACAAACAAGTTTGAATGCAGAAATATCGACAACCAAAACTTCTATGTTTAAAAACCCAATGCAGAAAAGGTTTTAACAAAAATATGTATCGTTATAGTGATTCAGCATTCCCCGCTGTGCCAAGCATACCCAGTTGCAGTAGGACTTGGTCCTGTATATTTTCCACTTGTCCCTTATCTTCTTCGTTGAAGTTGTGTCTTGTGCAGTTGTGCAGCTGGCTTGACCCTGTGCTTGGAACTTGCGTCCAGTATTGGTGCTTGGCTTATATAGAACACCTCCTATCTTATCTGTCCGCCCTCATTACTGCACAGCCTACGATTGCAGACGGACACTCTCACGCCGAGGTTTGGAGACAACACCATGCCCGCCCACACATAACTAAGAGGGCACTGATAATCAGGATCATACCGACCACCTGTTTGGGAATATTGTGTTTGTATAATAGCGACAATTGGGTGAAAAATCATGAGTGTTCTGTGGAGTTTTTTTCGTCAAAACAATGGGAATACAGTCATCACAAAGTGGACAATATCCCTGGTAGATATATAGTTGTAAGAGGAATTTCTCTCTGAACAATCAGGTGGTATACGTACTGATTCAACATATTTGACTTTCAAATGTGCACTGCTTCATATAAACATATGGTTCAGTGACAGGTCTTAGTCGGTTCTTAGCAGTCATTTGTAGGTAGGGGTAATAGTAATCTGTTCTATTTCCTTCTTAAACAACACTAACCTTTTATGTGGTGTATGTGTGAAGATAGAAATAAAAGCATGCATATGTTCTCACACCAGGACCGTATATGTACATTAATCTTGTGAAGTAAATAGTAAAAATATATAGCTACTCTATTCAGAAAACATTTTGAGACTTATTGATGTCATTAAGTCGTTTCATAAACAAAACAATACGAAATTAGTTTAAGCCGCAAGAAGTTCCTTATATAAAACAGCATTGACTAGTTCCAGTTATACAGATTTCATACACAACATCTGGACATTGACTTCTGGCAAGTGCATGTTGATGTCAAAACATTTCCAGAATCTTGTGAAATATCAGCTAAAAGGAAAGTCCGTCGAACGATCCGATTCATCATAAACTTCACAATTGGTGATAACAGAAGGTGTTCGCTGAAAGGTGAGCTTATACTGCAGAATAGTAGAGTAGATGTCCCCTATCACAAATATAACCGAAGCGTATCTTATTATTACTCGTATCATAACCTAAACCCTTGCCCAACTATCGTATCACATCCGCCAGATGGAAGGACACTGCCACTTAAAATCAAAACATGGAATGACTATGTTTTTATTAAAAAAAACATGCCCGTTTCGGGAAAATGCAAGAGTACAAGAGACAGTAACGTGTATCCAATCACCTATTAACAGCGTCATATGCACTTCCGGTGTGACGACATCATTGGGGTCGTAACGAGTCTGCGCTAGTTACGCTCATGTTTCCTTTTTATTAACCGATCTAAGGATTACATTCTCATTTACCTTGAACTTGAACACATAACTGGTAAATCGGCCATCCACCTCAACCGAAAGCAGGTATAAGCAGATTGCCATGACCAGATTTTCTTCGCCGTAGCAGGTAATTCCAAGCTCCAACGATACGATTGATTTGGAAGATGTTTTGCATTTTAGCTCCTTGGAAATGTCAACATTAGAAAAAAGCAACAGCACACGTGGAATAAAGCACCTAAAATGAACCGTCTTAGCCACGGTGGCTCAGAGGGTTAGATCGAGCATGGTATTATTTTACTCTGTTTAAAAAAACACATTCAAGTTTGAAATTCAAATTCGGTAACATTGTACATGCAATCTGAGATAATAATACAAAAATGTAAATATCATCAATGCCGGAGAGTATGGTAATCATGACTACGCCTCCAATATATGGAGTCCGCCGATATGGACTCCAGAAGGGTGAACGATGTCATCCATGAATATCGAACGACTGACAAGGGGATGTTTATTATCAAAACGTGAACCAAAGGCGGGATCAAATACTTCCTGTTTATAATGCTGACTACTGTGTGTCCCAGGTACTGTAATGGGATGCTGTTTGCAATAAAACGCAACCCCACACCGACACCTTGCCACTACCAAAGGTTCAGATGTATGGATCATTTCCTGGCGGTACGCCTCGGTACGACGTCTCAGTTTGCGACAACGGTAGTTGGTTACTTGTAGAAGATAGCAACTCTCATCAGACCAAATAAACCCTTCGCCATGTCTCAGAGCCTGCACCAGGATTGACGTTCCTCCCTGTGTCTGTGAGGAAGGGACGTGAGATCGGACGACGTTCCCAAAGACAAGCTGCCCGCACCCTTCTTTACGTACTAGTGTTCACGTTAGCACCGATGTTGCGACAGGACATCCCTGCATTATGCATGCTAATCAGTTGGCATTGTGTATTTATTGAAAGTCTACATCTTGTGATGTCAAGAGAAGCAAATGTTTAATACTGTCGTCTTTTAAAACAGTTGTGATAAATTGTAGTGTACATACATACTAATTTATGCACACACACGCAAACAAACACAAACACACACACACACACACACACACACACAAACGCACATATATAATAGCGACAAGAGCATTTCTGGCAATATCCCTACTAAAATAATTTCACAGTGAGCTCCTAGCTTGATGTACGCAGCAGCAACGGAAGTATGACTATGCCCTTGCACCAAGCCAAGCAGATAAATATCCGTGCTATCAACCAACAAAGGTTACAAAGAACGAGTCGAATCTCAAGGTCATGTTTGTTATTAAGAGCAAAAGGTAAGTAGTTAGACCTGAACACAAGTGTGTTGAACACCGTTTTTATCGGTACTCCACTACAGTGGATTAACGCCGCACTCGCAGCTTTATGGCGGCGGTCTGAAAATAATCGAATCTGAACCAGACAGCATGAACATCGATCCATACAACTGAGATACGATATGTGTCAACCAGTCAGCAAGCCTGATCACCTAATCCCGTTAGTCGCCTTTTATGACATGCATGGGATGCTGAAGATCAATTGTAACCCGGATCTCCATGGCTCCACGGATCTGAAGCCGGCCTGACGGGTGAATGCTTTAACCACGAGGCTATCCACCCTCCCGTCTATACCAGAAGTAATATTCGAATTTAACTATGCCTTTAACTATCCACTCGTCACGCTGAAGACCCGGGTTCGATTTCCCACATGGGTACAATGTGTGAAGCCCATTTCTGGTGTCAACCGCCCTGATGTTGCTAAAACTAAACTCACTCACTCACCTACTATTTCAGAGATGTTGCTGAATCAACATGTTTCTGGATCAGTTCGAGTTACTACTTGGATGCTGCATCTAACTATATACACTGGCGGCAAAAACAGGCAGGTCCACTGCCTGAGGACATTGCCATCAGGACGGACATTGTGTACACAATCAATCCTTGACTATAGATTGTTTAGATTTGTTTTTGGTTTGGCTGTTATTTAACGGTCTGTAAGTAACCGAGTCTAGACTCGAAAATTCAGCGAGTGAGTTTAGTTTTACGCCGCACTCAGCTATATTCCAGCTATATGGCGCCGATCTGTAAAAAATCGAGTCTGGACCAGACAATCCAGTGATCAACAACATGAGCATCGATCTGTGCAATTGGGAACTGATGACATGTGTCGACAAAGCCAGTGAGCCTGACCACCCGATCCCGTTAGTCGCCTCTTACGACAAGCATGGGTTACTGAAGGCTCATTCTAACCCGGACCTTCGCGGGTCGAACTCCAAACAAACAAGGCACGACATAGTCAATTGACTTTTAACGACTGCAGATTTTCATAAGCATTTTGTATGCCATTTTTATCAATGTACTTGAATGATGTGCTGACATTGTTATAAATCAAATGATGAATTTGATCGTCTAGGTGGGATGTGCGTTTAAAACCCATTACATTAGATTCTTACGTTTAGATGAAATACCTTCCGCACCCCTATAATTCCCGCGGGAATGACACTAAAGCCTCGCACTTTGTCAACTCTCTTGAGTGGTTCAAGCTCTACAGCTTTGAAGGGTGCATCCAGGAGCGTAGATTAAAGGCTTCCACAGCTGCCTGCAACTGTTAGGCTGGATGGGAACCCCATAATGGTAAAATACTCTTTCTGGTCACCCCAATCCTTTACGTTTCTGAGAGACGCAACTATAATAACAATTATTACTTTAGAGTAGTAATGATACACGTAAACCGAGTTACCTCTTATCTTTAGCAGTACCACATCTTGTTAACAGATCAAATAAAAACATAACGGGCCCCTTTTCATATTCAACATAAGAATGATCCAGTGTTCGGTCACGACAATATCTTTGAAATACATACCATTTCCCTTGTCAGAATCATTTGTTCGGTTTCATAAGCATGCATTTAACGATTGCCAAACAGTGATGATACTTCGTGAAGATCCATGGGAGAATTGGTCTTCAGCAACCCATGATTGTCGTAAGGTGAGGTGAGGTGAAATTGGGTTTAACGTCGTGCTTGAGAATATTTCGCTCATATGACGACGTGCATGCGTGTGTACGTGTATGTGCGGCTACTTGTACTAGCCCAGCTGGTTTTATAGTGCTAGCCCACTGAGATACCATGCCACAGTGAAGCATGAATACCCCATTCAGACACATTATACTGACTCCGAACCTACCAGTCCTTGTTGTACCCATTTATGCCGAGCGCCAGGCAGGGACCAACAAGTACAATATTTTAACGTCTTTTGGTATGACACGGTCGAGGATTGAACCCGCGACCTTCCGCTCTCCGGGCGGAAATTCTAACCACTACACCACGGAGGCGGTCGATTGTCGTAAGACGTGATCGGGTGGTGTGGGCGGTTGACCTGGTTGACACAAGTCATCATATCCCGATGCTCATGCTGTTGATCACTGGATTGTCTGGCCCAGACGCATTATTAACATACCGCCTTCTTATGACTGTAACATGGCTGGGTGCGGCGTTAAACAACAAACCAGCCAGTCGTGATATTGCTGGAATATTGCTAAAAGCAGCGTAAAATTAAACTCATTCACTCATTTGATAATCATAATGTTTAAAACCGAATATGATAAACTAAAGAAGTTTCTTTCTCTCTTTCCAGACGAGGTCAATCTGTGGCATTGTTCCATAAAGGAAGTGGAAGCGTGTTACAGTCCAGCTTGTAGTAAGAACATTGGACTTATATTTATATCATATGTATGTATATGTAAGTATGTATGTATGTAT